CAGGGTACCATGGACAGGTCGCAAGTCCATCACAGTAAACTAACTAAAATTAACAAAAACTAACAAAATTAACCATTTAATTTCAGTTTGTTTAATTTTAAACATTTGACTACTCTGGCATTTATTGTATATTGCAAAAAATTAAACTGACAAAAAATTGCATGTGAAAGTAGAAAATGTAGGTTTAAAGTCCCAGCTTTAACATGGAAAATTCAGCATTATTATTAATATATTATTATTTATGTTTTCAGAAATTTACCAGCTTGAATACTTAACATGTTATAAGGATACTATTTACTAAGAACTGCAGCAAGTTGTGAGAAATCCTTTGTTTGCAGGAATTTAATTGCATGGTTCTGCCAATAAAAAAGATCTGAGAAACAAATGCAACACAAAATAACAATTGAGATGAACATCACCAAATGGTTCTTTGACTTAGCCTAAGCTTTTCATGTCATTTATGAATTTTATTAAACTATTTAACATTTCATTTTATGTTATTTGTATTTTATTAAATTTTATTCTATGTATTAGTATATCTAAATTTGTGAGATCTGATTGTTATTTATGTAGACAGTAGCATTTCAGTGTACTTAAATTCAGTACAGCAGGCTATAAAGCAACACATCGACACATGCAGGTGTTGTGTCGAGATGTGCTTCATCATTGTTACCCCACCTAAGTATTACAGAACTCCAGCCACATGTTTCCCCTGCTACAATGGACAAAAACAAAAGAAAAATATATCAAAATTTCTCTCTCTTTTTTTTAATTTAAACAATTTACTTAAAATACTGTTGTTTAGGAGGAAAATGTAATGCAGCAGGTGGGGAATTTGATCTTTTTAGGGGATCATCTTAATGCAACACTGACACAGCAATAATCAATCAAACAGTAGCACAGATTATAGTCAGTAAGTTTCCTCAAATATTTATTCACTGGAAAATGTAACAGATCAACTAACTTAATAGTATGCATGTGGTTGTTAAAAAGCTTACAGTGGCTCAGTCTTTCCTGACATGTTTTTGTGTCTTGTTTGTGCTCATCAGATTGAGGAAGTCCTCTGTTAACAGTTGAACTACATAACTTAATGATGGCACCTTGGATATTAATTAAATAACCTACTTTTTCATAGCTAGTATTTATTGTTGTAGCAGCAGCAGGCAGTACATTAAACCATAACTTCTGCAAAATAAAGAATCTTTATGGCAAATATACTGATGGGCTACATTAACTTATTCAAATGTGTAGATTCTGGCATGCAAAGGACAAAGGAATCTGACATTCAGCTGTGAAAAACAGAGAAAATGCAAGGAAACAGCACATCATTCAATAAAAAATTTAAAAAAAAAAACCACTAAAACCCTGCTTGGAGGCAAATCCAGACAGGCCATTAATTGGAGTATTAATTGGCTTGAGAATGCCTTCACTCATTTTTCTCATGGAGATGTGGGGGAAGCCTTGGCAGTGCTCCAAGATGGAGGTGAAAAAAGCTCTTGGGGGAGAGCTGTTGTGGATGGATTCTTATTGACAGGCAGAATGTGGAGACAGCTGCTGGTGCGAGGGCCCTGTAAAGGTGCTAGCTAGCCTGCTTCATAAATTACTGTAGTAAATGTACTGGCTGTACACTCTGAAGTGAATGAGAGGAGTTGTAAACAAATCACTGCAAGAGGAGAATGATATACCACCAACTTACAGAGGTCCAAATCAGCAAGAGAAGGGGGGGAGGGGTGTTAGTGGTCCAAATAGTGACTTCATGCCACATGACGTCTGTGGCTGTGGCAGAGGACTAAAAGGACTTAAAGTTAGAAAAGCACTTTGCAAGGATATGTTTGAACCACGTAAGCTGAACTAATTCAGTAAATCTACATAATCACAATAATTTGGAAAATGATTGTGGAAAAGACCAAAGTGTGAAGTAATTAGCAACCAGCGCAGCCAGAGGCCCCTCTTATAATAATAAATTGTTTTAATAAATACCGACTGGAAATCACTTTTCCTGGTATGGTCATTCTAATACATATTAACATGGGAATTATGATGGTGACCTTGCCAGCTTTCTGTGGAGTAGTGTATTTGTAGCACTCAAAGATATTCTCCCATGAAACTGCTGGCTCTTTGTCGTTTGCATAATAAACAGAGTAGAAACAGATATTTAGGTCAGGGGTGCCCAATACGTGAATCGTGATATACTGGTCGACTGCAAAGGTATTATGGGTAGATGGCATGGTATTAAAAAATAGATGTCAGCCCAACATCCATCTCTGAAATTTGTCACTTGATCAGAATCAGAAGAATCAGAATCAACTTTATTGTCATTGCACAGTTACAAACAGTGAAAATGTATTTCAGTGCAGCCGTCCAAAGAACAAGGGTAGACGGGGGTGCACGGGGGCTGTAGCTTCATTGTGAAGCACTGCCCTTATCGTCTAGATAAGAAAAGGGAAGAGAACATGAGGAAAGAAAGTATAAAAAAAGGTCTCTCACACTGTGTCCTTGACACAGGACACAGTGTAAGGAAGCAAAAAAAAAAAACTACCTCAGCACAAAAAAGCAACATAGATAGACATAAAACATTTTGCGGGGGGGGGGGGGGAGGGGGGGCGTGTGCGTGAAGACTGTAGACATCGGTGGGTGCCGAACCATGAAAAAGTATTTCAGTGC